TCTGGAAAATTTAAGGGGTAGTTATATAATAATTTTGGACGATCTCGGGTGGTCAGATACTTATGACCGCTACTGTATGAAACAGATTTTGAACATGGTATTGATGATCAGACACAAATGGATCAAATTGATGATGAAGTAGATGTAACGGACTCTGGAAAAAACATACAACTTTCGAACAATGAACGATGATTATTAATTGATGTCGAAGAGGAATATCAAAGAGGTGAATCATCCGCGCATGGCGAAATTCGCAGAGCCATCTTGCAGGACGAACCTCACCTTTTACAAAGACGAGAAGAAATTGACAAATATGAAGAAGATCTCAAATACGATAGTTATCTAGAATAGTTCTATTTTTATATATATATTATATTTTATTAACATTTATCAACATTTTTTTAGTATTTTATTAGTATTTTATCAACATTTTTTAGTATTTTATTAGCATTAAATATAACTATAATTCGTGAAATGATTTTAAATTGAAACTTTGCCTATTTTAGATCGATTTGTATCACTTGTAATAACCGAAATTTCATTGATACTTTGCTTTTAAATAGTCAAACCTTTATTTTTTTAATAACCGAAATTTCATTGATACTTTGCTTTTAAATAGTCGAACCTTTATTTTTTTAATGGTCGAATTTTGTTTGAACATGTGACGATTTATGTAATCTGTTTGTTGTATGAGCTGCAGACGATTTATATCATTCGTTACATGTAACTTTTGGTATAATTTCGTCCAGCTTTAGACCATAATTCAGCCTAAGACCGGACAACCGAATTCTGGCCGAAATGGACTATTTCAACCGGTGAGTCACAAATACATCGCTCAAAGATCTTGAAATAATGAGAGAGAATCTCTGGTAAATATTAAAAGAATATAGTCTTAAAGATATATTTAATCGTGATGAAACAGGACTATTTTGAAAGATAAAACTATATCAAATGATATCCAATGAACAAACATCAGAAAAGAAACTTTCAAAGAATTGTGTAATGATCCTACTCACATATAACGTAATGGGAAGTAAAAAGCTGATGCTCTTGTTCATACACAAGTATGAAAATCCTAGGGTTATCAAGAATATTGATAAAAGAACGCTTTTGATTGAATATTATTAGAACTAAAAAAGTTAGATGCAGGTTTCAATCTAAAATGATTACATAAAAAACTCGATACAAAAATGAGAAGACAAAATCAGAAAATTATTCTTCTTGTGAATAATACTCTGATACACACTCTTTATGAAACCACCTGCCTGACTAATATCACCATTCAATCTCTTCTCCTAAATACCACTACATATCTTCAACCTTGTGATCAAGGTATCATAAATAGTTTTAAGATGAGAAATGTAATTGATTTAATAATTCTTTAGTTAAAATATAATTGACATTAACTTTATTTATACTTAATTCTAATTTAACTTATTTTAGGCATAATATTAAAAGCTTTATTTACAAAATTAGGTTAAAACTTTTGATAAATTTAATGAATACCATATTAAACCCTCTGAAATTGATATTAAAAAGTGTATAAAATACATTGCATAAGTATGGGATAATGTTACAAATAAAACAATTGAAAATTGTTGAATAAAAGCAGATATTTTACCTAAAGATAATCATGAAAATGAGGATGAAACTGGTAATGATATATTACTTGAACTTAAATGATTAAAGGAGATGGAAGAAGTTTAAGTATTAATCGATAAACTAGATTTTGACAATCCTTTTTCTGTCAAAGAATTTGTCAAGTATAATAAGTCTGAGATTACAGATAAAATGATATCTAACGAAGAAATTTAAAAGCAATTTTATCTGATCAAGAAGAAAAAAGAGATGAAGATTCTTTATCACCAATAATTACTTTTGGGAAAGTTATTAAGGCTTATAATAAAGTAATTTTATATTTGAAGTAGCAAGAAAATCTTTTGACATGAAAAAGGAAGAGTTAAGATCTATTAAAAAGCTTAGAAAAGAAGCTTTAAAATAACAGTTTGTCTCTTCAAAACAAACTAATCTTGATAAATATATTACTATAATAAAATAGTAATTTAAGAGTTACGCAATAATGTTTACATTTTTTTTTTTACTTTTTACAGAATAAAATGACATCATAATCATAAGAAATTTTGATGTATTGACTAAATAACACCCCTGTGATAATATTAAAATTTTGTTGAAATTTTGTTGAAATTATGTTAAGAAATCATATTGTTTTTTATTAATTTTTAACCAATTTTTGTTGAACTTATGTTAAAATTACTTATTTATTTTTATTAAATTGTAGCAAATAATTTTATAATAATTTTTTATTTATCACTGAGGTAATGATTTGATCTACTCTGATTGTCTAATGTATTATATTTATTAATTTGTGTAAGTTATTTTTAAATTGATCTAATTTTTATAAATAATATAATGTATTATTATTTTGACTTTTTGTTTTTATACAAATCAGAATTTTTAATCACGAAGAGTTCTTTTTATATTATTTCAATCATGAGTTTTGCTTATTATTTAGATTGATCTAATTTTTATAAATAATATGATGCATAATTATAATATAATACTTATATTATTATTGTTTTAATACAAATCAGAATTTCAATCAAGATTGTATTATTTCAATCATGAGTAAAATTTTATAAGATATCAAATCAAATGGATAAATTTATTTATAAAGGAAAGTATTTTTTACCATTGTATAATTTTTCACTTTTTGAAATTTAAATCAACCTTTAAAACATTTTTAATTTACTCTATTAAATCATATTTTTTTACAAACATAAAAATGACTACAAGAATCATTTGAGAAAATAATGAAATTGACTTATTAGTCAAGAAAGAAGGAGGAGAAATAAAGAGTATCATATAAGGTATAGAGGCAATAAGATGGAGTTCTAGAGGAGTGTAGCTCAACGAATTAATCAAAGATTCAATACAGCATATTCAACTTACCAATGCAAGTTGAAGTAGAGAATTTAATATAGAATTACAATATAAGTAAATAAATGAATAATAATATAATGATAAATATAACTTAACAGTATAATTAATATCTTTTAAGATTTTTGCGATTATTGAAATGGAGTGAGAAGAGGTGAAAGGTGGACCTATACTATGGAAAGATTATACAACCTCTTCAGGACTCATTCTGAAATAAGCTAGATAATAATTAAAAAAGTTTAAATGATTTTTTAGATTTATATTAAATATATTTACTTTTTTAGAATTAAAGTACACTCGTAGGAGAAATCGTAATTTGACTACTATGAGGCAAATACAAAATACAAGGTAAAACCATGATGAGCTTTTGAGGCAAAACTGAAATAAACAGCGAAATTGCAACATACCTGTAAGGCCTGTAAGGCAATAAAAATTTCAGTATTTTTTTCTTATTGTTCGTTTAATTTCATTTTTTTTTGTATTGTTCATTTTTTCTTTTCATATCGTACGTTTAATTTCATTTTTTTTTTTCGTTTTTTTATTTCGTTTCATTTTCCTGTTTTGTTTCATTTTCCTAATTTCATTTTTTCATTTTGTTTCGTTTTCCTAATTTTATTTTATAGTTTCTTTTCATTTTTTATTTCATTTCATTTTCCTAATTTCATTTTATAGTTTTTTTTCGTTTATTTAATTTTATTTTTTTGTCTTGTCTCATTTATTTAATTTCATTTTATAGTTTTATTTCAGTTTCTTAATTTCGTTTTTTCGTCTTTATTTTTTCTTTTATTTTATTTTATTTTAAAAAAAAATAAATTTTTTTTTTAAAAAAAATTTAAGTAAATTAATAAAACTGTCATATAACAATTAATAGATTGCATGTTAAAATAAAATGACTAAAATTTACAAAATAACGTGAAAATATTTCTGAAAAAATTATATCATAGTAAAATTATATTTGTGTAATGAAATCAGTAATCATCTACTATAATGAATAATTCGTTATAGTGTTAACGAAAATTCTTATAATGAAGTCCTGATCAGCTAAATCGACAACTTCATTATATCGAGGTGTGATTATATACCAATAATTGCAATAATTTATTTTTAACAATATAATATGATGATTGTTTATATTAAAAAATAAATTATACTTTATAAAAAAGTTAATATATTTTATTATATTAGCGCTCAAATATTTTACTACTAATAAAACTCATTAAAAGAAACTAGAATAATCTAATTTTTTGAGATAATAACAAAAAATACGCTTGATTCAAACTTTTATTTTTTTTAAAAAAAAATTCGTTTTCTTCTGAATATTAAAAAAAAATTATTTTTCAACTATCAAAAATTTACATTTTTATGCATTAAAATCAAAAGCTGCTTCAATATTTTACGTACTTATTTATAACTATGAATAACTCTAATGGAGATGCTAATCCTTCTTTCAATGATAATCTATCATCAGCTACTTTATCAGTTTCTTATATATCTAATTGTTGATCAAACAATATATTCAGATATAGATCCTATAAATTAATCAAAAGTAAAGAAGTATTTTATTGTGATTTCTTATACTAGAATGATTACAGAATTGACAGGTTCGTACATTCTTTTATTTCTTTTATTATTATTTTTTTTTTTGTAAATACTATTTAAAATATATTTCTCATATTTCTCATTGAAACTAAATCATAACAATATTATTATTTTAATACGTTAAAATATTATACCTTACATTATTGAATATTCGAAAAGAAATTGATATTAAAGAAGATCTAGCAAATATTTTAGGTAAATAAAATCTTATCACACCTTTAAATTTCAACTTACCTGATATTTTTAGGAATTTTAATAAAAAAAATTATTTTTTTTTTATTTTGAAATTTATCTTTGATATTATTTGAATTTTTTATATATAATCACTCAGTTGAGCATCGTATTCTTAATTATATGTAAGATTTATTGGCCTTTTATGTGTTATATATCATTTTATCTTTAATATGTGCTTAATCACACAATATTTGGTTACTTATCACAATGTGTAAAATTTAATCTTATGGTTCTTCATCTATTCAAAGTGTATTAGTGGGAGTTATAAGTGACATTTTCATTCCATCTGATAAGTAATTCATTAAAAATATTTTTTTTTTTTTGATTTTATATACATCTATTAAAAAATTTTCTCTTTATTATAAATAAATAAATAGAGAAAGTTCATATAGTATCTTTTATGCTAATAAATTTTAATTTAGTTTTATTCATTTTATTTTGCCTAGTTACTTACATTATTTATCACTTTTTTTTCAATTTCATCATTTGCAAGTTATCTTGTCAGTAAGTAAAAAAATTAATCACCTACTCGCTACTTATGATATGTAATTTTATTAATC